CCCCAAAACCCCAAAACCCCAAAACCCCGCTTGCCAATATATTGTTGTAAATAATAAAGCGTATAACTAAATTGGCTTTAATAAGTATATCATTCATTATAAATTGATGTTTGACTAACTGCCTATTGATTATAAAAATGCTCTGCCCTTTACTAAGCTATTCCGCTTATTGATGGTATTGGAATTGTGATTTTTATTTTATTCTTCAGCCTTTGCTCCTCTTTAAGGGGGGCTCTAGTTATTACTCTTGCTACCTTGGAGTGGTGCCAGCTGTTTCTTATTGTTTTCTAGCTGGATGGTAGATAGAATCAGACTGGAAGGACTCTAATGCGAATTGTGCTCTGAGATATTAAGACTGATTTAAGTTAAAGATGGCTATGGTGGTTGGTGTTAGAGCTTTTCAAGTTATCCTTTCTTCTGAGAAGATGGACCATTTGGATTAAATAGTGGATGATTCTCCAAGTTTTAATTTCTTAGTATATCATCCATTGGGGACTATTGATAATTAACTGCACTTCCATTCTGACTAGACTTGTAGTTAAGAGGCTAGAGAACAACATTAGACTTCACATTTTTCTTGTTCTTTTCAAAGTCCATTGCACCTGTTTATATCGTTTAGTACTATGACTCAGAAGAAACCTCTATAACATAATGAATATCATAAAATATAATTCTTACTGTTCAACCTTATTCCACCATTGTTGTTATTTCCACCGTTTCCATATTGATCTCCACCTATAGGCGTCATATTTCTGTCATTTTGGCTTGCAAGAGCTTGTTTACTTTATCTGACTATGTCCATTGCCGAAAGCTGTGAATACTTATCTCGATTGCTTCTCCTGCTAGAATCATTTACAGGCACACCACCTCGACTCTACTTTTATCTCAGGAAATCTTAGAATTCTTATTGATCCTCAAAAACTACATCTCTCTTATCCAATTCTTGTTGAATCAAGGATTATCCTTGAGCTTATCTGATTTTAGGCAGATGTATTTCTTTTTCTTTGATAAAGAATGCTGGCAGCACCCATTTATTATTGTTATCATCGTACTTAGCTCTATTTCTAAGTTTTTGCACCTCATAGTCTTTCAGCATTGCTTTGATGACTTCATTTTGGAACTCTAACTCTTTTTATTGATCTCGGACTGACTCCAGCAGATCCTCTCTTTGATATTCAAACTCGTTCTTAAGGTCTTCTATTTCTGAATCAGCATATCTGTTTCTGTGCTTCAGTTTCTCTATTATACGTCTTTGTTCCTCAACTTCATCCTGTAGATTTTCAAACTTCCTCTCTTAGTTCAATAACTCCTCCTCTTGTCTACGCTTTTCCTCCAGAATTTACTCATTTTTCTTTTACTCTTATCTTAACTTAAGCTAAAGTTATCTTTATTTTTTGATTCGTTCCTTTTACTTGGCATCTTCAATAGCAGGAGCATTATTATTTTATCCTAAACGATCTTCCATCTAAGCAATAAGTTTTTGAATTTATTCCTTAGAGAGGACATTATCTTCTCCACCTCCATTTGATGTCTAGTCTGATTCTAAATTCGATGCTCTAATAATGGTTCTATTAGCTGATTTTTTATCTACAATTGATTTTTAGGATGGTCCTTTGACAACTCCATTTGATTTGCCTACGCCGTTATTCAACTAACTATCATTAACTACAATCTCCTCCACAATATCATCATCAGCCCCATCTTCATTCCCTTCATCCTCATGCTCGATAATCCTTTCATGATTTGAATTCTTCTTAGTAGCATATCTGTTGCCATTATTTCTTGGCGAAGTAGTTGATTCACTGTCACCGTTTTCTTCCAAGATCTTTATCTTCTTTCCCTTTTTAGCTAATTTTTAGAGTAATTGATCCACAGTTTCATCATTATCACCTCCTAGTCTAAGATGTTCTTGAGAATTCAAATTCAAATCAACTTAGTTAGCTACAACAGATCCACCCGTTTGAACTTAACTGAGCAACGCCTTCAGTTTTTAGATTTCCTCTTCATACTGTTTCAGTAAAGCGTCCTTAGGGTCTTCATTGATTCTGGGTTTATTCTTGATTGCTTTTGCTCTTGACGCATATCTCAAAGTTGATAGAGTTTCGTCATAGTTAAAATCAGATGGTGATATGGCTGCTATCATGAGAGTTTTAGTGTTACCTCCCAGAGAGTCTTGCAATAATCTTGTTAGCTTTGAGTCTCTATAAGGGATATGCTATGATTTTCCATCGACCAGAGCGCTGATGACATTACCCAAAGCCTATATAAGGTAAAATGATACATTTGATAGCATACTGATAAGGATAAGTTGATCTTAGTGGCCTCTTTCAATCTCACGCCCTCTGCTTAGGTTTTACTTTATCTTTCAGAACCAGCCAAATCAACTAAGTTCAGCTTGCCTGCTTTAATTCTTGGCTCATCTTACCCGATCTATAATTGTATTATAATTAATTGAAGGATATATTTACATCCTCAGACGTTTCAATGTAAATTGTAAATATAGAGTGACTTCGACTGCTGTCCTTATTCATTGCAGTTTCTCCGACCTTCCTATTACCTGAGCCTTGCTGCATAAGCTTCTCTATTTCAGAGATGGTCTTAACTACGAAGCATGTTAAGTCCTTGACGAAGACACCCTTATTTGGATCTTCCTTTAGTTCCAACTTAGCATCGACGTTCTTACCCAGTAAGTCTCTGATATCTTCATTGTAGATCTCTAAGTAGGAACACCTCACTAAAAATTTGATAGTTTTCGTGTCTGCCTAGTCAATATACCCAAATATGTGCTCAAATGCATTCGGAATAATACCACGTTCAGCGGGGTCGTCCTTATATCCCATCATCGTATGAGTTTTACCACAACCTGTCTGGCCGTATGCAAATATAGTCCCATTATAACCTTCAATAACTGACTCTACTAAGGGAAAGGCCCCCTCATCATAGACAGATCTTTAAGTTGAATTCCAGTCATAGCATGAATCATATGTGAATGCTTTGGGCATTTCAGAGGGATCACTTGGCTTCTTCAATATAACTTAATTTGTCTTTCTATCGCATTCAACACACAACCTACTTCCTAATTTAAGTATTAGTTCAGAATTTTTCATGTTTAATGATAGGGAATATTTGCTTACCCTCAGCGATTTCTCGTTTGTTAATTGGTCTGGCTCTGACCATGACTTTGACTGTTTCACTCATTGAATAATCGAAATGATAAATTCTCTGAAAATTTTAAAGTTCAAACTCTATTTATAAATTATATTTAATTCTATAATTAATTTTCTCTCTAATTTCTCAGGACGAGCTCGGTTTTGGGGTTTTGGGGTTTTGGGG